ATGAAAATTTTAAAAATGATTCCTTAATTAATTTATAAGTAATAATTTTATGATAGTTCTTGTAAAATTAAGTTGTTTAAAAAAAAATATTGTCTGTGTTGGAGAATCAACTAAAGACACTTTTAGACATTTTATTTCAAATTGTTATTTATTTAGCGCCAAAGCTTTTTATAGGTGTCGCCTAAATTACCGCGTTTCCTGTTCCCTTCACGGAGAAAAAAATCAGGGCTTTTTAGCATTGAGTGGTCTATACCTTTAGCGCATGGGCGCTTCCTTGCGGCGAAAGAACGAACTCGTACGATTGCAGCAAGGCTCCCTACTAAAATAGGGCGAGCTCTTGCTGCAATCGTACAAATTCGTTCTTTCGCCGTAAGGAAGCGCCCATGCGCTAAAGGTTTAGACCACTCCATGCTAAAAAGCCCTAATTTTTTTCTCCGTGTTGAAACAGTTTTTTGTAAAATCCTACTCCCGAAAGGTCGTTAATAAATCGCTACAACTGAATCGCTAGCCTTTTAAAACATTTTCTCTACACTGAGAAAACTGGAGAGCCAAATTCAGAGGTTCAAATAGTGTATGTTTTCTTTGCTTATGAAGAGAGTTAAATAGTCCTTCTAAAATAAATTTTGAATTGATAATGGAAATCTACTTGTATATTCTCTCCCATTATATCTGAGGGTTAAAAGTTGCGCAGAAAATGTGTACGATCTGATGCGCGCGAAATTATTTTTCTGACATTTTATGTATTTAATTTAGGGGTTAGGTTGCCATATTTATTCATTTCGCGCCGGATAAGGAAGGGATTTCTCAAGATGGTTAATTTGTCCCTCTGTTAGAGAAATGGCACGAATATCTGTCAATGGTGAATTTGAACATTTAGATTGTTATCCAATAGCTAACTCTCAAATATGAACGATTTGTCCCTCCAGATGTTTAGTCCAATACTCCAGTTTTCTCAGTGTATCAGTCTAAAATAGAAAAAAATGGAGGTTTTGTATTTAAATTCGTGGTAATTTCATAGTTTACGAGTCAAACAAAAAAAACATAAAAATTCAATTTTTTCCAGTACTTTTACTAAAAATCCCTGACTATTCCCTGACCAATTTTACTTTCCCTGACTTTTCCCTGAATTCCCTGACCTGTGGCAACCCTGTATTAAAATAATCTTTTTTATCCACACTCCCTGTCGTCTGCTATCTGAAATCGCCGCTTTTGTGCATTAGGAATAAAAAATATCGTAAGTAACACGAGAATAAAGGCAGCCAATTTCTTTACGATGATTTTTGTCACACTTGTTCCCTTTAGTTTACGAAGTCGTAAACTACGATTTATTTTATTGTGGACTCAACTTATAGAATATTCATTTACTCTAAAAATGATTAGAAACTAAAAAATGTTGTAATTCATTTATTTATAAATTTCTCTAATTGTAAAATTATTTATTTATTATTATTATTTAAAATTATTTATTTAAATAAATATTTGATCATTATTCTTACAAAGATAGGTATTAAAGTTAACCTTAAACTTTAACTTCTTCAAGATTATTGTCATTATTTAGAATCAATAATTTATAAAAATTTACGCAGTAATGCTTTTTATTATCAAAATAATATTATCTAAAATTTAAACCCAAAATTCATTTTTAAATACAAAAATGAAAAATTTATTCAACAATTTGTACATTTCTATTTCTGTATAATTAAAAGTTTTTAATTTTTTTTTGTGAGAATTATAAATTTTTTTTTCTAAAATGTTCAGCAAATAATTCCGGACTAGGAGAGACAAGAACTGCTGAATACTATTAATCGTAAATTTTACTCAGAATTGTTTGCTCTACATTTTAAAATAGAAAATACTTTTTATAATTAAAAAAGTTCATTAATTGACAAACATTTCATTTTGAGAGTATTGGGAGAATTTGTACATTTCTATTTCTGTATAATTAATTGTTGTTATATTTTTTTCTTTTTTTAAGAATTATAAAATTCTTTTTCTAAAATGTTCAGAAAATAATTCCAAGTCATAACCAGGTTTAGTGGTCTACTGTGCTCCATTTCTCTCCTAGTCCGGTACTTTAATTTCAGAATTTACTGTTCCGGACTAAAAGAGACATGAATTTCTGAAGAATATTATTAATCATAAATTTCACTCACAATTGTAATCTTCACATTTTCCATTTCTCTCCTAGTCCGGTACTTTAATTTAATAATTTACTGTTCCGGACTAGGAGAGACATGAATTCTTGAAGAATATTAAACGTAAATTTCACTCACAATTGTATTCTTTACATTTTACAATAGAAATACTGTTTATATATAAAAAAGTTCAGTAATTGACAAACATTTAATTTTGATAATATTGGAAGAATTTGTACAGTTTCTATTCTATTTCTGTATAAATAAATGTTCTTAAATTTTTTTCTTTTTGTGAGAATTATAAAATTCTTTTTCTAAAATGTTCAGCAAATAATTCCAAGTCATAACCAAGTTTAATGGTCTTCTGTGTTCCATTTCTCTCCTTGTCCGGTACTTTAATTTCAGATATTACTGTTCCGGACTAGGACAGACATGAATTTCTGAAGAATATTAAACGTAAATTTCATTTAGAATTGTATTCCTTACATTTTACAATAGATAATACTTTTTGTAGTTAATAAATTTTAATAATTGACAAACATTTAATTTTTAGAATATTGGAATAATTTGTAAATTTTTTTATTTTATTTCTGTATAATTAAAAGTTGTTAAATTTTTTTCTTTTTGTGAGAATTATAAAATTCTTTTTCTAAAATGTTTAGCAAATCATTCCGAGTCATTACCAGGTTTAATGGTCTTCTGTGTTCCATTTGTCTTCTCGTCCGGTACTTTAATTTAATAATTTACTGTTCCGGACTAGGAGAGACATGAATTGCTGAAGAATATTAAACGTGAATTTCATTAAGAATTGTATTCTTAACATTTTACAATAGAAAATACTTTTTATAGTTAAAATAGTTTAGCAATTGACAAACATTTAATTTTTATAATATTGGAAGAATTTGTACAGTTTCTATTCTATTTCTGTGTAATTAAATGTTCTTAAACTTTTTTCTTTTTGTAAAAATTATAAAATTTTTTTTCTAAAATGTTCAGCAAATAATTCCGAGTTATTACCAAGTTTAATGTTCTTCTGTGTTCCATTTCTTTCCTAGTCTGGTACTTCATAATTTACAGTTCCGGACTATGAGAGAGAAGAACTGTGGAAGAATATTAAACGTGAATTTCACTTACAATTGTATTCTTTACATTTTACAAAAGAAAATACTTTTCATAGTTAAAAAAGTTCAGTAATTGGCAAACATTTAATTTTGATAATATTGGAAAAATTTGTACATTTTTATTTCTATTTCTGTATAATTAAAAGTTGTTAAATGTTTTTATTTTTTAAGAATTATATAATTCTTTTACTACTGTAGTCCATTTCTCTCTTAGTGCGGAACTTTAATTTTATAATTTACTGTTCCGGACTATTAGAGACATGAATCGATGAAGACTATTTAACGTGAATATCTTCTAATAATTATTTATTATAAGCCGGAGAATATTAGAAATTTATCCAATATGTTGAAAATTGAACATTTGTATAGTAATGGTTTTTACATTCTTATCACATCACAGAAAAAAACTTTACTCAAAATGAGTATGATATAATACTCATTTTGAAGTGCAACAAAAATGATACCCCTTCGACTCATTCTGAGTTTCTGGGGAAAATACTCAAAATGAGTAAAATCCGGATCATTTTGGGTTTATAAAAAAATTAGAATAACATTGGAATAACTGGGAATAATTCATAAAAATATGAATTAAAATAATTGTTTATAAAGAATAAACACGTTGCACTTGTCAAAACATTAATACTTGAAGTCGATTTATCGCATTTATGAGAAATAAAAAACAAATTTTTAGGTTAGATACTTGTGAATTGACGGACAGGGATAACAACCATGTAATACGAAACATGCGAAACACAAAAAAAACTAACGGCGCCACTGTCTTAAAGCCAAAGATAATGGTGCCAAATTTAAATAGTGTGAAAATAAAATGATTTTTAAATATTGTTTTTTAACATTTAAAATAGTTTATATATATTTTACAACTTCAATTTTTTTATTTTAATGTTAATTTTTATTTTTAATAATTATTATTAATGATTAATATAGATTAATAATTAATTGTTTAAAAAATAAAAACTATATTGAACGATGTTCAAGTAAAATTAAAAATAAGGATAAGTAAATTTCAACAAATTTTTGAAATTTAACAATAAAATAGAAATTAATCTACTTAATTAAGTATACAAAAAAGATTCCTAATGTAATATAATATTAATATAACTATTTAAAAAATAGTAATAAAATAAGTATAATTTTAAATAGAACATCTTTATTATTAGGTAATGTTGCTTACAAATTATATCACAGTAATGTTTATAACAGTTAAACTGTAATGTATTTTAATACAAATTATGCTTTTACATATATTATTATGACAATATATTTTTTTAGTAAAATATTAGAAGCTTATGATAAACATGAAAAGTTTTGTAATAACAAAGACTAATTTGATTTTATTTAAATGTACTTCTGTGTAAAATTGAAATTATTTATGAAAATTCACGTCTACAGTAATCAATGAAAGATGCAAGTTGAAAATAAATTGCTGTTATTTAAATAATATTTCTTAAAATCATAAACTTTAAAAATGCACTTATTTGTTCATTTAATGTTTTTGAATATGTTACATACAACTTTAACAACTGACATCTTTCAAAGGAAGAAGTATTAAAATTTTATTTCATAGCTTTAATTTTAAAAATAATTTTAAAAATTGAATTGAAAAACAGTTACTATTTTTTAAATAAAACTTTATAGACTTACAGAGTTAAATGAAATGTAAAGGCTAAAAACCCTTAAAATAATTTTTGACTGAAAACAAATATATATGTGTTAACACATAGAATTTTGTTTTTATGGAAATTGTTGGATGCCGTCTGATATTTGAGGTCGAATTCATACAACAAAAGCTTAACCTGCGTATTGATTTACAATGGAATTTGTATGTGAATGTTAACTTAGGTTATGTTATGTATGTAATATTATGTTAGTTATGTATATTCCAAATGAATACCAGGTGGCTTGAAGCAATTTTAATTATGGACTTTAACTAAATATCAGCTTTTTTTAACAGAGCATTTACTTTAGCAAGTTTTAACAAGTCTTTCGGCAGTGCGTCTTTTGATTTTTTTTGCAATATCATTATGCTCAACAGTGCCAATTGACATTTCAAATCGACCGGAAAAGCAATATTAAAAATCCAGTAAATTCCTAATAAAAGTGGAACTGCTGCAAATGTTGTTGATGAGAAAATCGGTTCCCCATCGGAATAACACATTAGCACAATGTCCGTTTTTTCAGTGTCTCCGATTCCGATGAGAAATGGGAAATCGTTTTGATCTGGAATTCAAAACTATCTTAAAAATATTTGTTTAAATATCATGTTCACTCTCAATAAGCTTTAGAAAAATTTTTACATTTAAGTTCAAAAAAATGAAATTGTATTTAATTTGACGTGCAAAATACCTCATACACTTTTAGAAGGGAATTGCCTGGATGTTTGGGTTTGAAAAGATCTAGTAAAAATTCCAAAAGTCTTGAAGAGGAATAAGGAACTTGAATGAGGAACACAAACAATTAAGTGACGATGCTAAAACTTAATAGTTTTAGCATCGTCACTTAATTGTTTGTGTTCCTCATCATCAATGAATTGTAGAGATACTTTATCCAGTGCTTGTTTCCAATTATCTTTTATGGTGCAAACATCCATAAATACGAGCTTGCCAAACTCCCACAAGATCTAAGTAAAAAAAAGATAAATATTTTATTTAAATAATACAGATAATGCAATAATCCATAATTTAAATTTAAAATGAAATTATTTAAAAACAAATTTAACACTGTAATAAAACTTGTAATAAATGATAAAATAAATTATTGTTAAAAAATATTTTAAAATTAATTAGTCAATACTCACCAAATTTTCCTTCTTAAAAGCTGGATATTTATTAATTATATCTTTTATTGTCATTGCTTTATTTTTATCTCGAACATCTTTTTTTCTGGCACCTCTTGTTTCATCAAGGCAATGCTTTAGCAAAGTGATGTATTGTTTCTTATCCGTTCTTTCCATTTCTTTTTTCATGTCTGCTAGGCTATGTTGGACACTTCTTTCAATATTTGTAGATTCAAACCGACAGATTAGCTCAGTCGGATAGATGCCTGGCGTTGGTGGTCGTTTAAGGACCAAGGGTATAAGTATCCTTGGTTCGCGCCCACTTGGCTTGGTATTTTTCCGGCACGTGAAACAATCTGAGCGGGAGGTTTGACGTCGAGGTATAATGATGTGCACCGTCGATTATTGTCCGGTACACACCATTAGAACTCGACTGTCGATAAACCGGTTGTACTCAGGAGAGGTTTTCTACAGTTTCCCTCTCCACTGGCGAGAAAACCCATTAGACGGGTGGTCCAGGCAAATGCGAGTACTCCTAATTTTCAAGTCGCTCTGTAGGCGCAAAACTTAGTATTAGGAAAATGTATATAAGAAATATTATGTAAGAGAAAAATGTAAACACACTTGTATAGCTAGATAAGCTTAAGACGGGTGTATAAACCAAATAAATAAATATTTGTAGATTCTCTTGAAGAATAAGAAGTCCTGTTTTTATTTTTTAAACATCTATAGATGCGGCTTTCAATACTGCCCTAAAAAGTAATTTTTATTTTAATTGTAATGTCATTATTTGAAATCAATAAAATTTCTAAAGGAAGTCAATCTGAAAAAGAAGTCTTCAAATATTTTTAAAAACTGATTCTTTTTATTTTGTATATTTTAATGGATAGTGATTTCAATTTCTTAGAACAAAAAGCCTATCAAATAAACGTAAGATATTTCAGAAGAAATAAATTTCTATTCAGTTTTTAATATAAATGTATCTTTAGAGTATGAAAACAGAAATCCATTTTTTTAAATTTCATAGTGTGACAATCAATATAACATTTTATAATCAGAGTCGTATTTTGTTAAAGTGTCTATGAAATTTAATTTTATTAAAAATAAATCCAAAAAATTCACACATACTTGGCTGTCTCCGTTTACACAATTATTCAAGGCTGGAAACTTATCTAAAAGAAGTATTGCCATTTGCTGTCTGTCTGATAGGCTAATTTTATTTTTTGACGCCATATTGGAACATGCACTGCAAATTATTGCACATTCCTCAGAGTTTGAGAGTGAATTGTTTGAAAGCCCTTCATCAATATTCGGTGAGAAAGATATTAGAACTAAGGAACGCAAATTTGATCTAAAACAAAAATTAAAATTACACAAAAATATTAGTAAAAACATTAAGTTCTATTACAAATATTTTCAAGTGGCTAAATAATGTGCTTGATTAATTTATCTAAAAAATTGATAATTTTTTTTAATAATGGGTCAAATCTCCAAATGAAATTTTTTTTAAAAAATGCGTTTCTCTGTGTTTTGTGCATCGACAACTTCCGAACTTTAAAATTTAATGGATTTTAACGCTCGGAAGTTGCTGATGCATAAAACACAGAGAAACACATTCTAATTTTGGAATTTTTTTTAGTTGGAGATTCGCCTAGAAGGCAATTAAAATACATACTTCGTCTTTTGTCTTACTAATATTTTTTAGAACTTTGGTTTCCTTTGTCTGTTGAGATGTCAATTGTTTTAAATTTGAATTTAATGATTTTTCATTTTCCTTGGTTTTACTTAAGCTTGTAACAACTAACTTTGTCTTCTTTTCCTTTTTGCGACATCGATTCTTCAAACGATCCCCCATTATCTTCTGTCAAAATGTTCTCATTTTCATCTGAAAAAAATTATCAACAGTTAATTTTAGCTTCGTAAATTGTTTATTATTTATTATTTTTTTTAAACCTTGAATTCGAATATGCTTCGCCGGCGAACAAGTGCAGTAAAAACAAGATGGTCTTTTTGCATCCGGGTCATTCTCGTACATGTCGCAATCGCAATTTTCAGTCAAACATTTTCCTCTTTTGTGATTTCTGCGATCGATATTGGACATTGTTTCTCTAAAGTAAAATATATCAAAAAAATTATTTGAATTATTGAAAATATACAATGTAAAAAAATTTTCTTTGCATTTACACTTTTTTTACAGGAACTTGTAAAATAACATCTTCAAAAGTAGCGAATTTACAATCCGTTTTCTAAACTTAATACTTTCAGCGTGTCAATTTTACAATTTTCTGTAAATTTAATACTCTGAAAGTAGGTAATAATCAGTAATAATTTTGTCCTTTTATTACCTACTTTCAGAGTAGTAAATTTACAGAAACTTCTAAAATTGACACGTTAAAAGTATTAATTTTACAAAAGGGATTGTAAATTTGCTACTTTTAAAGATGTTATTTAACAAGTTTCTGTAAAAAAACTGTAAATCCACACAAAATTTTTTTTACAGTGTATCATGAGTGTATCTAAATATTATACTATTCCATTGAAAACTACCAAAATAGCAATAATTCTAAAAATTATCGCATTATAACTTTACTAAAACTTGCACTAAAAAATACTTATAATTTGATAGTTTCAACAATGCGTTTTTGTCACATAAGCGACAGAAAGCAGATACAACAATATTTTTCTATTAAATTTTTATTTCTTCAATGAAACCGAGCGTTGTAAGTTTCAAACGCTTAGAGAACACGCGTGGGTAACTAAACAGAAACGTATTTCTCAGTGTGCGATTTACGATTGTTTATTTTTCTATTGTAAGATGTAAATTAGCACATTTCATTAAGAAAAAATATAGTATTTTAAATTTGGTGCATGTAACGAATTTTATAAGTATTATTTTATTTTACCTATCGTAAATATACTTACTTGAAGATTGTGTCAATAAGTAAGGTTATGTTGCTTCAGATGGCGGAGATTGAAAGAATTGAAACAGATTTTTAACTTTAATTTTAACACTTTTAAATAGTTTGACCTTATGAGCGCATCCTCTTATATTGTCTTTACAGTTTCAATAATCACAAAGCAAAGTTAAAAAAGTTCAGAGGAAACATTCATTTCACTTGTTGTTTTATTGCAAATCTGACCAGACTCATGCGTGGTAGAAATTGAAAAATACAATTGCAATAAAGGAACACTCAGACCTCTGCAGACTGCCTGCGCAGGCAGAAGATCGTACACACCTCACTTTTTTCGTTGAAAAATGAGGGAAGATTTAAATATCTATTAAAATTCAAATCTTCCCTCATTTTTCAACGGGAAAAGTGAGGTGTGAACGATCTTTAAGTCATCACTACCGCCACCATGGCACCAAGTTTCGTTTTCTAGCTTTTCTGGTAAAATGGTTGACGCTTTTGCTTGTGACAAGTGAATTTTGTGTTTATATTTCGTCTATAATTGGAATAGAAGTTAAAAAAAAGAAAATATATAAGTATATATATATAGTATTATATAAGTATATATATATATAGTATTATATAAGAATGTACATATATAAATATAAAAATATATAAGAAAATATACTGAAAAACTGTGTGTGGAATTTAAATGGATAATTTGTAAATTTTATTGACACAAGGCCAACGACTTATGTTGGGAAAACAAATTAAATTAACATTTGATTACAAAAAGTAGGAGCTTATTTTATACAATTCGAAGTTGGTAAGTAAGGTAAAGGTCCCAATTATGGGACAATTTACAATTTTGTCCCTATTATGAGACAGTATTACAAAAAATAAAATAAATGCAATTAAAATTGGTCATAAGAAATTTCTACTTACTTCAAAAAATTTTACACGTTATTATAAGAATAATTATTTATGTATAGCATTTAATTTAATAAGAAATGTTTAATTGCAATTTAGCTTTTAAATTAAGGTAGGCCAGGTTTTCCGTCAGACTACCGTCCCACATTAGGTACACTTATTATTTGTATGTCCCTATTATGAGACACACAGCAAACATAACCTCAAATATTTTCAGTATTTTCACATTAATTTTCTACCACAAAAATTAGTTTTATAATTATTTATTAAACCAGAATTCGTTTATTGTATTTTATTCTTTTTAATTAATATTCAAATTATTAAGATAAGTCAATAGAATTGTAATTACTTATTAAATTAAATAAATGTCTCATATTAGGAACATTCATTTTGGGACACCCGTACATACCCGTTACATAGTCCCATAATTAGTGCAGTGCAGAGTTTCAAAATTTAATTAATATTATTTTTATTTCAAGAAAAATAACCATTTTAGGGTCTAAATATTATTCATAACATATAAATCTTTCAATCTATACCGTAATTATTTATATTAACACTCCTAATTCCAAGAAATTTATCATAGAAATTTAGTTTAGCTTAAACCGCGTCCCATAATAGGGACCTTTACCTTATATTTAAAATTATATACGCAGACTAATAACCAAAGTGTTGTGATAATTTTTGGTTCCTAACCTCAAATTTCAATTTACACAAAAATATATACAAAACAGTGGTTTTATAATATAAAATTTCTATTTCATTTTATTCTTCTGTATAACGTTTTTTCTTTCATTCAATAATAAGAATTACAAATTTTTAATTCTAGACTTCTTATTTTAAGAGTAATTGTTTTGTGAATCGAGTAACAAATGATTACGTGTTTTGTGATGGTACCAAATGTTTAGCAGTAAATTAATTGCATTACAATCGATTGGATTGAATAAGTTTTAAATAAATTGGTATTTTTATAAAAAAGTAATTTTAATGTTCTTTCTAAAAATACAAATTTTAAATAAAAATTTGTTCTTAGAAAATATTCCTGTAAAACGAATTTTCATTTTAAAAAAATTAAGCTGGTAAATTCCTTAAAAATATGTTTTATTTCTAAAGAAATTGAAATGATTAAAAAATATCAGTCAATTTGTTTTAAGACGTTTATCGTAAACTATTGACATTAAAATTGATCAAGATTATACTTTTTTTTCTTGTAGGGTCAATCCATTATATTTCACTCAAAGTTGTTGCTGCCTTTTTTTAACCCTTTGCGGCATAGTGACAACCCAGATTGTCACCTTTTTTTCTCCACTTTTTTGCATTTTTCAAGCACAATTTCATTAATTTCAATGACAAAAAGCATACTACATGTATCAGAGAACATCCCTTACTATAACAAAGACCCAAAAAAAATATTTTTTGTTGATAAAATAATTGTTATAAATAAATAAACTTAAAAAAAGCAGTTTTTTTTACAATAAATGTAATTGTGTCTAACC